TCTTTTCTCCTACTCCTCGGTTCTATCCGACACATACACGAGCGCGCGCGCGCGCTACCTTTATATCCCTCTCCTTCTCTCTTTCTCTATATCTATCTCTACCTCTCTATCTCTCCGTTTTCTTCTATATCTCCTATTCTTCTTTTACGCCTCCTCAACCAACTCCTACCGTAGTTTCGCACAGAAAAGAAAACGTTCGTCGCTGTTATCCTTTTCCCTTCTCTTTCTATTCATTTGCTTCTTACACTTCTCTTTTTATGTCTGTCTATCTCTTTCTCTTTCTCTCTTTTTATTTCTTGCTCTCTACACACCACTTGTTTTTCGCGACGACGAAAAGCTCGCTCCGGGAGGACTGTCACGGCACAGACGAACCGAGCGACACGGACGTTACTGCATCGCCACGCGCCAAACTCGCGCAGCGGACTCTGTGAGAACTAGTTCTCGTGGCGCTACCCCTCTCTCTTCCCCCACTATTCCACCTTTTATAACCGCACCGTTCGCAACAACCCCCTCTCTTAGACCCGACACTACCCTGCTTGCGCCGAGAGATCTGCTCGAGCTTTTCCAAATCCTCAAAGCTTTTTTCTTTATCTATTTCTCTATCTACCTCACTCATACATATTCACACGTGTATACATTTTACGTATTATACATATACACACTCGCTTTCTTTCTCTCTCTTTCTCTCTTACCGACTACTCAATCCGACGAAATTCGTTTCACTTCTTCTTCTTCTTCCACCAGGCCAGACATAATATGTAGCTACTCTACTTGCTGAAGATGAAACAAGAATCGAAGGATACGACGCATCGATATCTTCTCAATGGAGAACGTCAATGAAACGGTGATGCGTCACGGCTGACCAGCCCCTACGCGTTATGTAAATGATCGATCGTACTTGATATGTCTCTTAATTGATTTACACCAAATATTCTGAACCAAAAAGGAATCGATTTGAAAAATATAGATCATCATATCAACCTAACTCTTTTACTACGCCATCATGTTTGAATCTCTTTCTCTTTCTTTCCCCCCACTTCTCTCTCTTTCTCTCTCTCTCTCTCTCTCTTACCGTTTTTCACTCCTCAGGATACGTAAGCTCTCGAACTGTTCGCTTCCGTAATACGGACGGATCAATGAATGTGTACCCCACCAAGCAGCAATCCTCACCTCACCCTCTTTGAAGCGTGGCATCGAGAAACACGGTACCACACCGCGCCACTCATACTACCTTTACCTGAAAACATTCGGCTACGCTTTCCGAACGTCCGACCATACCCCGGACCCGTTAGTAAGCTCGCCCGCCAATCTCCACCACTAGTCAGAGGAAATATGTATGATCCCTAGAAGAGACGAACGCGGTAGTCCTAAGATACAGCTTGCTCTTATTCTTTCTTGTCCTGTGCGGCGACATCTTGGTGACGAATCGATGGTTTTGTGTTATTATACCCTAGATCCAATGAAATAAGGACGATCCATATTATCTTTACGATTTCTTACTCGTATTTTATTTTTTGTTTATTTCTTGTTTGTTTTTTTTTTAGTTTTTAACTTTTTCTCAATCGAGTGCAAGGAAGGAAAAACTTTGTATGAAATTTCTGTTAAAGATATAGAAACCATACTTGACTAGCAAATGCTCATACTACATCATCATATGCGATTGAATTACATATACGATTCTTCTGACGACAAATTTATTAATAAAAAAAAAAGAACAAAAAAAAAAGAAAAGAAAAGGAAAGGAAAAAAAGAAAAAAAATTATTAATCTCGTGCGTAGAACAATATAAAAGAGACGCGTGAAGTCTCCTCGCATTTAATCGATGCCTCTCCCTCTCTCTCTCTTTCTCCCTCTCTCTCTCTTTCTCTCTCTCTCTCTCTCTCTCTCTCTCTCTCTCTCCCTCTCTCTCTCTCATCGCTCGGCCGTGCAACTACGCGTCCGTGTAAAAATATCCATATAAACTTGTTTGTTCGTGTGCTAGTATGCATAATTGCAGAGAGAAATCTCGACTTCGGTTGTTCATTGGTAGTACAGTTAGAAATCCTTATAACTATATATATGCATATATGCACATGATACATGTATATATATATATATATATGTACATCCGTCATGTTTAGTCTAGATGGCCTGATTTCTGGCTGACCTTATTATTTGCTCATCGATTTAAATAAGTGTCAGTGTTTCGTTTGGACATGTTACGAATACACATATATAATCCAGTTAGGAACATAATGATAAGAGGAAGACCAAGTCCGATCGAAATGATCATGATCACCAAATAAGAAAACTGCTCGTCTGGTGGTATGCCATATCCAATAATGAAAGTCCTACAAAACACGATGACAATTATTACTTTTTACATATTTATAGAAATTAATCAATTTGAAAGTTTTTATATGTCTTACCATGTTGTGTAATGAGTATTTTTATAAAATCCATCTCCTTTTGATCCAATCGAAATTAGAAGCGTTTGAATTAGCAGTTCATTAGCTTCATTTCCGTAATAACAATAGAGCATAGAGTTCTCGATGGCAGTTATATGATCATTTACATTCGATGATCGATACTGTACTATTTCCGTTGAATCAGCGATATCTCGATTTGCCGATACATAAGACACTGGTCTCCATTGCAAATATGCACTATTGTTTTCTACCTCTTCGGGCCTATCGAAGGACGGCATCCTTACTTCGATCATCTGAGATCAAACAATCAATAATCACATATCAAACACGTCGAATATAAATATCGAATTTCAACATGAGAATCTAAATATCTCAAATTCTCACCTCGAATATACCTGGTGTATGTTCGTCATCCAGATTCTTTTTAGAATCGATGATTATCGATTTATGAGGATCACCACCCCCAACGATCATCAATTCGATAGCAAATCTGCTATTAGAGAAAGACTCGTTCGTTTGTATATTGTCCAAAATTAAATCTACCAGCGTCGCATTTTCGGTATGCAACATATGCGGTATTGTATCAGTATGATCCATGAAGTAATATCCTCTTAACTAAAAGAAATATAGAAAATAGATCGTTATTTACTTTACTTACCGATTTTAATGGATCTACGATCAAAAATTTTCTTTCTTTTTTTCTTTTTTTTTTCTCTTTTTTTATTTTCTCTGTTGTCATTTTCATGAAAACTTTTTTTTCACTAACAGACAATCTTTTCCCCATTTATTTATTTGATAAAACAAATGACAAGTGATAAAAACATCAAACTGAAGTTTAAAGAAGATTTTGTTCATTCGATCGATGACTTTAAATTGTAATATTTTGAAATATTCAATATTTTTCTTGTGATCGTTCTATGTAGCAAAATACTTTACCGAAAACTTTATACTCCCGTATCTGATGATATTCATAGGTTTATCGTTATAAGAGTTACCCTCCATATCCAAACCAAAGGAATCACCGAACATCGAAAAAGATTTGCGCGACCAACGAAAGAATTCTGGCTTTAAGAAGTTTATATTAGCAACGTTGTCTAAGTTAATCACTGCCGTATCATTTACATCGTTGAATTCGATAATCTGTAAGAAAAATAATCAAAAAAATATTATAATTCATGACGTAAATCTTGCGTGAAATAAGAAAAATTAAATGTACATTTATTTTTCAATTGAATTATCATAAATTGCATTGAATTTTAATTTTAATTATTATTGATATTTTAAATAGATAAATTAATGATACTCTAACATTATTTAATATAAATCCAATCGTGTAAGTTGGTTTTTCCGAAAATATGACGGAGTTATCTTTTTTCTGAAGAAAATCTTCGCAGACAATATTCAATGTCGTCGAAAGCGACGTCAGCGCCATTAGTATCGATGGTTTACCGCCAAAATCCCAAAGATAATGTAACGTATCGTTCGAACCGTCTGCTCTTAGATACATCGTAGTCCAATTTTTGTTTTTGCATCGTTCCTCGAAGTGTAACTGAAGACAAATATATATACATATACACACACACACACATATATATATATATATATATATATATATATATATATATATATTATAGATAGAAGACATATATATATATAAATTTTAGAATCTAAAAATTTTATTTGTCATCTTATATAAATTTCGTTAAATCTAATCGAAATTTATTTACACATAAAATATGAAACGATTGCACAAAGATCGTAATTCATAAACAAACGTCAAGGACCAATAGAAAATCTGAAAACGAAATGAAAGAAAGATGGCGGACGTAAAAAACGCGCTTTTCGAATTTTCCATTGAAGGATCTATAAACAATCATTATTATTATAAGTAATTAACATGTACGCAAATCCATTATAAACTATTAGTTCCGAAAAAATACTATAATTACATAGATAATTTATTCTATTAAAGTATTTATCCATGGGTAAATAATCTAATGACGTAATTCAGATTAGATTAACAAACAAAGGTAAAGTGTAGTTACAGATACGACTAATCACATGTCATTTAATTTATTATCGGTTTCAATTGATATATTTCATGTTAAACGAAAAGTGAAAAAAAGAAAAAAGGTTATGGTATACCGCAGATATATCTTTAAGAAAAAAGCAAAACAAATGACAAATTAATATATCTAAAAATAAATACAATTATAAACGCAAAACGATAAAGAATTTATGATTACGAATGGTTCAAAGTCATAGGAGTGAATCATACAAATTTTATTTCCGATCGAACTTATAACAATGCTTTATGATTAAATCACGTTCCAAAGTAACTTAATAACTTCGTACGTATGTAACTTCCGTAACAAATTAAAGCACCTGAATATTACTTACTGTTCTTTTTGCAGATCCAGCGAAATCCATAGAAATAATAGAAAAAAATAAAAGTAACGATATTAACGGTACACGAGGCATGTTCTTAAAGGAAACAAAAATGATAACGATACACGATGAACACAGTAAAACGTAACAAAAACACACCAACGTCAAGGCAGTAAGCGACTGAGGCGCGATACACTCGTAGCGACGCACAAAGAGATCAATTTCTTCATCATGGCGATGCCTCGCAATATTGATGATATCGCCATCTTGCGACAGTCCGCTATAAAGAATGACGACATGGTAAAGTAAATCGCGCTTTTGAAACATTTATCGACTTACTTTCCAGAATCAATGATACACATATTTTGATATCAGATGGTAAGACATTTTTGTTTGTCAATTTTTTTCCTACTTGATAATCATGTACACGTGGAGACCGATAAAAATAAAATAAATTTCATCTTAAATTTATGTAAAATTATTTCAGTTTTATTCATTTATGAGTTTTGTTAAATATACATAGACAAACGTTACTTACCACCATACTTACGTACACCTTTCAAGACTATTTACGTGTGTATGTATATATATAACACACATATATTAAACAACCATAGATACGAAACCATAATTTACGTAGTTTTCATCAATTGTTCTGAAAAAACATGGCGACTGGTATATATGCATTTCGCGCCGAGGGACGGAAACTCTTACCCCATTGACTGTCACATTTCGCCAACGGTGGTAGAGTTACCAAATCTCGACGCAGTATGTGTGAGATCTTCATAGAAAAAAACGAGAAAAAAAAATGAAAAAAAAAAAACAATTGCAAATTTCTGAATGAAATAAATATTATTATAAACTTTTTTAAATGTTTATAAAAAGATAATTATTAAATAGATTATTAAAAAACAAAAAACAAAAATGAAATTCAGTATCATCTTATATGAGATATCATCATCTTATTGTCAGTAGTATCTTCAACGACAACGATCGAATTACTGGTCTCGTTCAGGACACCCTGTAGAAAGCATGGAAAGAGAACGTGCAAAAAGAACGTTAAACGTGCAGACTGCGACCTTGACCGAAGCGTTGTCCGCGCGTGAGGCATACGCCGAGTTTGTACAGGACATGTACAGCGAACGTCCCCGACTAACGCTCCAAGAAGACTAAAACGTTCCCTTCCTCGACTCTACGTATACGTCTAAACGTGTGTGTGTATATATACACATGTGCATATATGTGCACAGACATATATATATATGTAGACATATATAATACATAATATATTCCTTGCAAACGTACAATTTCTGAATGAACGACAGATTTATTGTTTCGTTCTTGATTTATTTGTCGAAAATTGAAAAAAAAAAGAAAAGTGACGAACGAATGACGTTATTTTTAAAACGAAGAAAAAATTTTTTCTATTTATTTTTTCGCCCAATTTTGATCTCAATTTTTTTTCTTCTTTTATCTTATTTTTTGTTTTTTTTTTCTTCTTCCTCTTTTTTTGTCAAAGGAAAAAAAATAAAACCGCCGCACCGATACGAAGAGTCATGGACGACAGCAAGTCTTCGCGACGTTCGAATGATACAAGTCAATGCCGAAGGTCGTCGCAGGAAGTCGAGATCCGCGGGAGAACGTCGCTATATAACGGGTGGCGAGTTGTTTTAAGAAGGAGACCGGCCTTACCTTCATTGTATTCATATGCGAACAATAATTTCTCTCTCTCACTCTCTCTCACTCTCTATCTATCTCTCTCTTTCTCTCGTTCTCTCTCTTTCTCTTGTTCTCTTTCTCTCTCTCTCTCTCTCTCTCTCTCTCTCTCTCTCTCTCTCTCTCTCTATCTCTATCTCTCTATCTTTTTTGCTCTTTTCCTTAGTCTGTACGATCAAGGCTCTCAAGGTGAGCACTCTCGACGATACCACGAAGGGCAATCGCTTTCCTTCTCTTCTTTATCTTTGATCTAACAATGGCCTTTCTCCTTCCAGACGATCGAATCAACCTTCTCATCGACGTTAGTATTAAATCGAATGGAAATCAAATTTTGCCGCCTTTCCTATATCTAATCTGACTTTCTTTTTAAACACACATACACATATAAACACACATACATACACATATATATTATATATCTTTCTACAAAAAATTACGCAAAACTACTAAAAAAAAGAAAAAAAGGAAGCGAAAGAGAAGACAAAAAAGAAAAAGAATACAGACCGATATGTGACTGTCATCGTTAATACTTGACGAACATTTTCACGTCGTTCTTCATGTTTTAGAAAGTCGATCAGTGAGAGATAAGGGGGGGTGGATTCTCTATTCGTCAGACGAAAGAGTCCCCGGGGTACGTACCGAATGAGAAGAGCCTTCGAAAAAATGATGGGGTGGTATGGTATCAAACACCTTATGATTTTCTCTTTCCCCAATCGACATCCACGTGGGGGTCTAAGACACTCTGTTCTTACTCTGTTGAGAAGCTGTTACGCACTCGAAAGTTATAAAAATAAGCTTGCTTGCTTTCTTTCTTTTTTTTTTCTTTTGTTTTTTGGTTTCGTTTCTCTTCCAATTGTATTCGTGAGAACACGATTGTTACGAAAAAAAGCCGGTTTTCTTCGGCTTAAATGTCGATGGATTGCGAGGGCTAGCACGATTATCACCGCCCGTCTGCCGGCTCTGGAGGACTGTGGGATCCCCGACTGCAACGTAAGTCGTTTCTCCTACGAGCCCGCCCGCCACCATGGCTGAGCAGCCACCGAACGGACGAAAAACGGACAAAGAGTCTTCTCGTAGCGTACTCGCTCGGCCAATGGGAGGACGAATCGACACGATCACGGACCCTCGCCGTTCTCGAGCGCGCCGTTCGACCGGCTACTGCTGTTGCTGTTGCTGTTGTTGCTGCTGAAGCCGGCCGGCCGGCCGGCCGGTCGTCGTCAAGCAATGTACTTGCTGATACCTATTTTCCTACACTTGCTCTATTGATATTAACTATTGTTAATTCTATTGTTAACTCAACTATTGTAAACTTCTTTTTTTGTTGTTGTGTGTAGTCGCTAAATAGTGTACTTACTGATACGTTCATATTCTTTAATTATTGATATCATTTATTGTCTTCCTAAACTTCCTTTTTTTATTGAGATATCATAGTTAAAATTAGATTTAAAAATTTTATCCATTTTTACTTTCAGTTTTTCTTTGATTCTTTTTATCTTCAGAATTGTTCTTGTTTTTAGGATTATACAAGTGTACGTCGCCAAGTAGTGAACTTGATAATATGTTCATATTCTTGCTTCACTAATATCACCTATTGTCTTCCTATTCTTCTTTTTTTTTAGAAATCTAGTCGTTGAAACCAGATTTAGAAATTTCTTTCATTCTTATCTGCAACTTTTCTTGGATTTTTTTCTATCTACAAAATTATTGGAATTCTCTTGTCCTTAGGATTATACTAGTATACGTTTTCAAGCATTATACTCGGTGATACTTTTCTACACTTGTTCCACTGTTATAACTTATCGTCTTCCTAACCTCCTTTTGTAAAACATAAGAGAGTTTCATTAGAAAATATATAGACTTATATATATTTCTTTTTCTTTTTTTGTAATAAAAAAGTATTATAAAATGCAACCCTTAAAAATATAGAGTCAATGACAAATGACACAGGGATACCTATAAAGAACATTGATGTCGTGAGCCAGATGCGACATAATAGTTCAGTGAATTAAAATATCTTCAATTAGATCAGATTGAAAATTTTCATTAATTCTTATCTCGAACTTTTGCATTTTATTAAACTTTACTCTAACTGCAGAATTGTACTGTCGGATACTCTAATAATTTAAAACGAAACTATTCAATATACATACATAGATCTAGACCATTATGGGAAAGTGGTTGGAATTTGTTGTCACTCTCTCCTTTGAAGTACAAGTACACTACTGAAAAACGAAAGTAACTATCAAGAATAGTAATAATTATCTAATATCTATCCAACTATGTACATTCTATCTTTTTCTATGTACATTCTATCTTTTTAAGACAGCAAGTGATCTTATTGCCATAATAACGTTACGAATCTCAACATGACGAAAGAATTGCGTTAAAATTCTTATTACGGTTAGCAGCTACGTCTACGTAGCCAGACATGAAGTACAATCACGAGAAAACCAGTTGATGGTATGCGGGAGCAGCTTTGGCTCGAAGGTAAAAGCCGAGATTCAACGCGAGCGATAGACTCGAGCGCGATTCGCTCCGATAGACATTCGTACTCATTACCGAAGCCCATGGCTTAGGAGTGAAGTATTCGTTGTAGCAGGTGGCGTCATGGAAGACACAAAACACACTACGTTTTAAACCAGAGACGACGTTGTAACGTTTTGATGAAACTGTATGGTACAGTGTTCATACGTTTCTAATTTATTTTTCTTTTTCTTTTTTCATTGTCCTAAAGTAATGCTTTCTTTCATCTGTTGATGATGTAGTTAACAGGAAAGTATTTGGTGAAATCGACATACTTGATCTATCATACATTGCGTCTATTAATAAAAAAGAAAAAAAAAATAATTCACGATTGAATTGTATGAAGTAGAAAAAAATAATGCGTCTTTTCTAACGTCATCTATTAAATTTTTCCTATTAATGTAGATCGTATTAAGAAAAATTACGAAAAAATTAATAAATGACTAGTTAAAATTAGTCATTCAAACACGAACTTAATATTTTTATAAAGAAAAAATGTATGGGGTGGTGCGAATGCAACCGATGCAGTTGGACAGGGACTGCGACACGTACGAGAAGATAAAGAGAAGAAAGAGAGGAAGGAGAAGAGTTCGAGAGAAAGAGAGACGACCACACGACACCGCAGAACCGGTTCCATGGGGGTTTCGCGTAGTGACGGGATTTCGATTCGGTTCATTGCAAGTTTTCAATCAAGTCTTCGACTCTTGGAAAATTCTTTATTCTATTCTTCAGAAAACTTAAACGAAACACTTAGAATCTTTCATTTTCTGTTTTTTTTTTAATTAAATGATATATACAAATCTTGTTGATTTTACGATTAGAAAAAGTTTTTAGATTAATGTATCGATGTGATTCAAAATCACAATCTTTAAAATATCAAATAGATTTGATAAATATAAAATTTCAGAAATTAAATTTTATTTCGTCGAATTTATATCTGACAGGCTAATACAACTCGGTCCACAA